ATATGTGGCACCTCTGCACATGTTGCATAATTATATATTGTTAATAAACATGTTGATGAGTTTATCGGTTTCTTTTATTATTTTATAATTGAATTTTTATTCCAATTCTCAGGAACTGTTCACCCGAATTCACTAATGGTTTATTTTACGTATAAACTTATGCAATTATATTCTTATTCAACAACTTATATTGGAATAAAACAAGAAAAAATACCAATCAACACTCAAAAAAGTGTTTTATTTCTTCATCCTATAAATATAATTAAGATTTGTGACCCAATTACGCGCAGAAATAAACCAAAATAGGACAGAGACACTAAATGATAACCGATGAATATCAATTATTCAAATCTACTGTATCAACTAACCGTTTCTTTTAAGTATTGCTACAGGGGTCCGTTGGGTAAGGGGAAACTTTTAGAAATGTGTTGTGATGACGTCAGAGTAAATTGTTCTTAAGAATTATAGTTCATGGATATAACTATTGTTTGATTTTAATTAAATGTTCTACAAATCACAGGTAAATCAGATCAAGAGGGGACCTTGTATGTACGGTTTGAGTGTAAGGAAAGACTTAGATTTCTTATAGTGTGCGATTTTGGATGAATAAATACAAAACTAATTGACGCTTAACATTTGCAGCTATCTGCAAATCAATATACAGTTATATTTTATTTTTTATCTTATAACCGTCGTTGAACAGTCGACCCAATTTTGGGTTTACGACTACCAATGTTCAACTCCGTAGCCTTGTCATTTTGAACCCGGTACAGAAGACAAGGAAACTCGTGGATCAGTATCCCCAGAGGGATGATTGGTTAAGGGGAACAATGGAAAGTTGTATTTTTATGTCTTTATATAAAGCCGAAACCGCATAAAGCCAAAGTTTGAGCCAAAGCCACATTTTTGGTGTTCAAGGTTACAAAACATTTTATTTCTGGAGTAAAACTAAAGTGAAGATATGAAAGTATGCTGAAAAATGTACAAATAGTACAGTGAAATAAAAAAATAGCTTTGAATAATTAGTTTCAGAACAATTAACCGCTCAACTTTGCAAAAAATACTCCGCTGGCCATTGTGCAGCCCACAAAATTGCAGCTTCAAATTTAGAAAGCTGAAAGGGCCATTTTTATTCGTAAGCTTAACATGATTTCTTCTTTAAAAAAGAAATATCAAGTGCTGTTTTATTGAATTTTTTCGCACTTTTTGTTTTAAAAAGTGACCATTTATTACATAGAAAAGTAGAAGAAGGAAGAAGGTTAGTTTAAGTCATGATTTTCAAATAGATTAGAAACTTTTAAGTTAAGAATCTATATGGAACTAAAAACTTCATTAAACATAGATAAACGAAGGGTAAACAATAAGGAATGTTTATATTAAGAATGTATATAAGACTATAGAATTAATGTTTGTATTAGGTACTATTTAGTATATTTTATTTTATAACCGTCGTTGAACAGCCGAACCAATTTTGGGTTTACGACTATTGATGTTCAACTCCGTAGCCTTGTAAATTTTGAACCAATCTGGAAGACAAGGAAACTCCTGGATCAGTACCCCCAGAGGTATGATTTGTTATGGGAACATGGAGGACTTTGAAACTCGACAGATTCAACGTGCATCAGTCACCCTTTACTACACGGGAGTCATTGGTAGGCGGGAATCGAACCCACGACCTCTTGGACATGGGCCCAGTGCCCTACCAACCAGGCTATCCCGGCCGCTAATATACAGTTATAAACACAATTAATTTTGTTGTAAACAGGGTCGGTAAGAGGTATGAGCCTAGTAAGCGGCTGCGTAGGGGGCCGAGTAACGGGGATGTTGGAGTCAAGTAAGGTTAGATTTATATTAAAAAAATAAAATTTTTACGTTTTTTTCTCATGATCTTTAAAATGAACTTATTTTCCTAAAATAAGATGCTAAAATATCTGTAATACTTTGGTAACAAAATAACCCTTTTAAACTGTGTAGCAATGCGGCATTCCTTGCATTGCTTTTCTCTAGTGCTGATGACATTCTGTCCAGATAATTCACGATTTTCTACTGCAGATGACTGTCACTCACAGAAACTAAGGTCTGCTGAGTTTTCCTTAATGTTGATAGGACACTGAGCCTAAGTTCAAGAGTTCGTGGGTTCGATTCCCACCGGCCGAAGTAAGTGTAGTAAATGGTGACTGATGCACGTTAAATCTGTCGAGTCGCAAAGTCCTCCATGTTCTCATAACAAATCAATACCTCTGGGAGTACTCATTCAGGAGTTTCCTTGTCTTCTAGATTGGGTTCAAAATGACAAGGCCACGGAGTTGAACATGATTAGTCGTAAACCCAGAAATTGGGTCGGCTGTTCAACGACGGATATAAAATAAAGTGTTTGAAGAAAACCCTTTGTTGAGTGACTTTAGTATAGTAATTTCAAAACTCAAAAAGCTCTAAGAAAATTTTGTTATGTAAAGGTAAGCGGGGTTACAACATTGGTCTATTCACAAAAACAATTCATACAAAATTTCTAAGGAAAATAAGTAAGCGAAAGGTGGTTTCGGTTTCTGATGTGTTAACAATTACTCTGTTCGAAGAAGGGTATAACAACAGACATTCCTTGAATTTCCTGCTGCACAGTGCTCTGAGGAACCTCCCTGGCCGAGCGATATAGTCCGTCAAACGCAGTGTGAAGCGTGGAGGTGGCGGGTTCGAATCCCGTCGTAACGCTGGATGTATTCTTTGTGCAAGTGTTCTATCTGTTCTTCCACTTTGCAAAGGTTTATAAGCCTAAATTGAGCAAAGAAGCCTGCAAATATATATAATTTCAATAAAGCAATAAACCGTGTTTTGAAAGAAATTATATCCATCTGACATTTTTATGTATTTTTCAAATTCTAAAAATATATCACCTCTTTCAAGTTACTTTTTGCTTCTTTCTGAAAGTAAATACTAAATTTATTACTTTCCTTCTGTTAAATACTAATTTTATAAACTTTCACTCTTTAAAATGTAATAGTAGTTTAAAAGTTTTATAATCTTATTGTTTTTTCTTTTTTTTTACAAGTTAATGATTTTTTTAACAACGCTTTATTTTAGTTAAAAGAAAATTTCAAAAACATGAAATTGTTTTCCGTTTAAAGTATAAAATAATGCGAAATTGTTAGATTAGTAACCATTTTTTAAAATAAGTCATTAAATTACTTTTTTTTTCTCCGTTCTATTGCACGTTCTTTTATTTTTCGGTTATTTAAAATTTTTTATTATTAATTCCAATTAAAATAAAAATCATTAGTTATTTTTTCTGTAATTTCATAATTTTATCCAGGAAACTTGTTAAAGCAGACTTTAAAAATATATA